TAGTTACTCTTTAAATAATTAGGAGCAAACAATTATCACACTAATTCGTTTACGCATGATTTTAGTAATTTATGCCAAATATCTAAAAGCTAGTATATTATTCAAAAAGGCGCCATAAAGGGAATCGCCCGAGCTTCAACCTCAAAATGATGTACACATTTGGTCATAATGTACCCGGTCCAGACAACAATATAACTTTATTGTCAGCGTTACAAAGTACCACCATTAGCACAACTGATGCCAAATATTTTGACGTTTTATACCGCCAAAATGTACAGCTCTTTGGGGAATTTTGGGGACAGTCAAAGGCAGACAGCGCGGAAGATCGATTGGATTTATGCGTTTTTTGGCGATAACACAATAGACCCTATTTATCGACAGATAATAGAAATCGACGCACGTCGAACAGTTGGTTGGGATCGATCCACGAAGCCACGTAATGCGGTTCGTTATGGTGATCAGAATCACATGTTGTTTCCATTCGTCAGAATCACTACCCTCATCGTGCATATGTCGTATTCCGATGCAATTACAGGACGTTATTTCAAAGTTCGCTCATAAATTATTATAGCAACTTGTAATTAATTATCAATGAACACTACGAGAGTTTACTATAACGAGCGCGACGAAAATCCAAAAGAGCTAAAAAAGAAATTTACACGCGGCGCCGGGGCGAGTTGACAAAAAAATTTAAGTGCTTGTCTTTAAAAAGAGGATTTTAATGACTAATCATGGGGATTTAATATGTCACTTGTACCGCCATCCTGGTGATTCATTGACAACATCAAAAGACAGGAACGGATCCAGAAAAATTTTATTTTTGCTTCGCTCACTCGGCCAACAGTGTTGCTGCGTACTGCCAGGATGCGTATGCAATAAAAAGTAGATTAAACATTTTCAGCGGCTCGTCAGAAAATTAACCAAAACATTGCGGCCCCTGGTTGTACTAATGCTTTCTCCTTTGTCGAAAGCCCTGCCTGTTTTGCGGGGGGAGGGGCAATTCAAAAGACTCTGGTAGACTTATGAGAATTGAATGACGAGGCGGCTGAGCCAGTGATTTATAACTTCCCGAGCAAATCCTGGGCTCGGCTCGCCACCTGAAGGGCCATACACGAACTAACGATGCAGTAAAATTTGCGAAGTAGCCGTTTAAGTATTTACGTATTTTACATATACTATTTTTGTACAAACTCGAGTTGTTAGGGCATTATCTGGTCTGCTCGTAGGAGCACTGGATTTTTTTTATTTAATTTCCCCCTCAGTTACCATGTAAAGATTAATATAAACAGCTTATTTATTTTTAACTGTACCTTGATCTTACCTTTTTTTATCAAATTTTATGTGACATTTTTTCTATTCCTTCTATTCCTTAAAACTGTTATAAAGACCATGTAGAAGTATTTTTGTCAACTATAATTCGTTAATTTATTACAAAAAACTTATGAAACAATATAATATGGTTAGTTATAATTAAATTAACATTCTGATTTATTATTTTACACAAAATAATTTTTAATGATAGACCATACAAACTCTTTGGTTCTTGCTGTATACCGGACTTTCCACACACGTATTTTTTGCGATCTTTCGTAATGACTTGTCATTGATAAAACTATCAAATTTTTGGAGAGGACTCCTAGATAAGATAGTAGTCTCCTGTAAGTGTTGGCACATGTGTTCTTAGTTCTTTAATCATTATTTCTGATAATTTTTATAATATTTCTGATGTTTCTAAAAAATGTTAGGTTTGGACAGGATTCTTCTTCTTCTAAGGCAGTTGGAGATCCATATGATATCGCCAATGACACAATTATGATAAAGAAACAAATGTTTTCAAATATCTAAGAATAACTTCTGGTTGTTTATTTTTGGTCCGCTTTTATAATGATATGAGGAAGAGAATGATTCTATGCATGACAGGATTCTTTATCGGTAGTTTTGCTATAACGGGACAAGGATGTTACGTAGGTAAGTTTTTTAATTTATCGGAGTCGGAGCCAGAGTTTGTAGTAAGGCCACGTAGAAGAGAAACATGTTACTCAACTCAATTGTTTAATTTTCATAAATTTTCATAAATTTTAGTAATTTTTTTCGATTCGAACCGAAGCCTTGCAGATTAAGTGTCATTTAGTCAATAAGCTAAACGGTCAACAACTTCTTCGCGCGAAAATGTCGAAGTCTTATACTTTGTTTACTATTCATATAGTCATTCTTGCTGTTATGTGATGAATTTCCTTTAAAGCAGAAGACATTTTTACAATGGATATTTAAAAACTAGAAATGTCGCCTTTTCTATTGATTTTTTTTTCACCGTTTCATCTACACATTTCATCTTAAATGCATAAACTAGCATTAAAAATTAAGAAAGTGAAAATTAGTTATTTCTTAACTGTTAACGGTCAACCTAATAAAGAATAGAAAAAAAAACGTTTCTTTAATAAGCCCATAAGTAGATAAAAATGGGTAAATGTGTTAGTTTTCAATTTTATTTACGTCAAATGAAATCACTATTTCTTTTTACCACCAAGCTGGGTCCGGCACACCATATGAATCATATTGTTGAAGGAACATAAAGAACAATTAATTATCTGTGGGTCACATAAATACTTGTTCCGTGTAAAATTAGAACCCACGACCCCCCGACCTGGGCGACCGAGTAGAGAAGACTGACTCTAAAAGCGGCAAACTGTATTCAACAAAAGCTTGGTAGCTTTTTAGCGGCTTCTTAAAACATACGTAAGACCGGCGTATATGAAGTTACCCTTTTGGTTTCCCTGGTGGACACGATAGGACACGCCGAGTAGATTACATATTGATGATGATGAAATTCTGCATTTTTACACAGAATATATAAATGTCTATATATTCTGTGTATATATAAATTGAGAATAATTTAATATACTAGCAGCTTTTGAGGTGGTCCGTAAAGAGCTTAATAAATTAAATATCTGTTAGTTAATCGAATTATTTGTATATTATATGGTGATAATTTTTATAATGTAAACTTTATAATTTGCGCGTGCGAATGCAGTATTCATTTTATTGAATTCCGACCTTAAGCGGTTCTGTCGCTCTCTTCATTGCATAGTGTTACTACTAGATGGCGTTAGTTGTAATTTAACGACCGTCCCTTGGAATTTTGTCTTCTATACTTTTTGTATTCGCCTAAATTTTTTAATTTAATATCAGTGTAATTTATTTTATTCTAAGTATTTCAGCGACCAAATTGTCAATTTCTCTTACTGAGATTCACAGTACTATTTTTATGTTTAATAAGATAGTGATGTTACAGAAGTGACATCACGGGAGCATAAACGGAATTGTAAATACTATGAAAAGTACCATTTTTATTAAATTAAATTCTACACGCAAAATAAGTAAGTAATCAAATAAGAGGCGATAAAAGAAAACCAAAATCTGTCAAAATTATTTTGTTAAATTGTTTGTTTTTTGACGAATAGTAAAGATCTAACTAAAATAATCATAAATAATAAAAAGTTTATGGTGGCCCGTGTTAACTTTTACATTAGAATGTAATAAAACTAGTCAGTCTGTTCCTCAACCATGGATGCTGTACTGTTCGAAGTGTTTGTGAACTTAAAAACTAATTAAAATTTTAGTAAAATAATGAGTTAAATTTAAAATGCGTACTAAAGTCGTGAACATACACAAAATCATTTGTGATAAGTGTGAGACAGCCACAAACATGTGTGAAGTACCAGGCATTCATAAGCGCAGAGCGCATTCCTCATGATCAGTTAACTTTGTACGGCTTTTTTGTTCCGCCGACGAGAGCACTAATCAATGCTTCATAGTATTCGCGGCTTCCACAGAGGGTTTTCGAGAGTACACTTCCTAAAGTGGCGATTGCGATAAAATATTAAATCGAAAATTGGAAGCACCTCTACACTTAATGTGAACTCGTTCGTTCTGATTGTACTGATGAATCAAAAGGCAGTTTTTTTTTATTTGCTCGCGCAACATTCGATTCATAAACATAATGAGTCTGGAGTTTTACTTTATTTTTGATATCAACATTGTACGCATTTTGTTGATATGGTGCCACATAATGTCTAAATACAAAATGGGGTCTATTCAATGTAAAGAGAATGGACGAACACTGACTTATATTAGGCTATTGTAAATAGTTGCGATAGGATGGGGACACTTAAGCTGATGACGATGATGTCATTACGTGAGTAATTTGACAAGTGCACAGAGATAAGCCACGGGTTATCGCTCAAATGCGTCACAGACACAGGTAGTACAGATTATACAACAAAGAAGGTTCGCGGGAAGCGAACAGGTTGGGCAGAGAGTAATGCAAACATTCCACGGGGTCATCCGGCTAAAGATAAAAGAGTTGTGACTTATCATTGAGTATTATGAATGGGTCTTATCCATGAGCCAAATTCTATCATGCAATTATATACTATACCTATGCAACAGAAAATAATTCGGAATAGAGAGTTTTGTATACCATATTCTATAATAATACAAGATGCAGCGATGGTGATCGTTGAACAGAAGTAGTTTGTTGAGAAGAAGTATTTTTTTTACTTGAACACTTTTGAAAAGTTACGATTAAACAAATAAAACAAACAAAGTAAGCAGCGCCATGTTTATAAAAGCTCGCGAGGCGCGCTCCTGTTCATGCCAATCTTGCGGCGAACAACTTGTTGCCGATGTGAACTTTTGAAAAGAGCGTGACGCGCGTATCGGACCTCCTTGTCAGGGGAGGAGCGATAGTGCGGGGAGCCGGCCGGTCGCTCAACTCCACGCGCCGTCACTCAGTCGCTTCCCGCACGTCGCGGTGAGTAGTGTTGCAATCAGCCTGCGCACCACGTCCGTTATGGAACGTACTTCGAAACAAGTTTGACGGGGACTTTCGTGAAGTTTTCCGAGCGCATCTGGCCTAGCGTGAGCGATGTGCGCGACAACACCTGCCCGCCCAGTGACTGTTTAATCTAAGTGACAGTTTTTAGTGTAAAGTAAACGAGATGGAGTCGATGGGATTATTATTGTGCTACGCGTTGTGGTGTTGTATGTGTTCGCTCGCTGGCGGCGCGTCGTTGACGAGTCGAGTGGCGGAGGCGCCGCAGGAGTGCGAGTGGCAGCGCGTGTCGGGCGGGCCCGGCGAGCCCACGCGCGTGCAGTTGGCGTGCTCGCTGCGGACCGCTGCCGGCGCCACCGACTTACTCGCTGGACTCAGTACTTCCCAAGCGCAGCGCATCACCGCGCTCGACCTGCACTGCACCGACGTATTGTTCTTCGAGAGCTCACTCGACGTCGGCAGAAGGAAAGAGGAGGGAACAGAACTACTATCCCGCTTTCACAATCTGAAGGAATTGCGGATAGAGTCGTGCAAAATAAGATACGTGCCATCAGGGGTACTGTCGCCTCTCAGTGGCCTTCGCGCGTTGAGTATACGGACCCACAACACCGACTGGTCCGCCATGTCAATGGAGTTTCATAGAGACACATTCAGAGGTCTTACCGACCTTAGAAGTTTGGATTTGGGCGACAACAACATATGGGTACTCCCGTCGGAGATATTTTGCCCGCTGTACAATTTAAAAGAGCTTAACGTAACTCAGAACAGGCTTCAAGATATATCGAATTTGGGCTTCTCTGACTGGGGAAATGGTCCGCAAGCGCCCGGGAAATCTTGTAACACCGTGTTAGAGACGCTGGATATGTCGCATAACGAGATAAGTGCGCTTCCCGACAACGGCTTGTCCAGTTTGCGCGCTCTACAGAAACTATTCCTACAAGACAACAGGATATCAGCTGTGGCGGATCGCGCATTCGTCGGATTGAGCGATTTACAGATTCTTAACTTGTCCACGAACGCATTGACCGCGCTGCCACCCGAAATGTTCCAGTCGTCGCGTGACATCAAACAAATATATTTGAACAACAACTCGCTGAGCGTGCTCGCGCCCGGTTTGCTTGAGGGGCTCGATCAGCTGCAGATACTGGATTTGTCCGTCAACGAATTGACCAGCGAGTGGGTGAACCGCGACACGTTCTCGGGACTGGTGCGGCTCATTGTTTTGAACCTGTCGCACAACCGAATCAGCAAGATCGACGCGCTACTGTTCCAAGATTTGAACAATCTACAATTCTTAAGTTTGGAGTTCAACAACATTGCGCGTATAGCGGACGGCGCGTTCTCCAATCTGAAGAATCTGCATTCGCTGTCGCTTGCGCACAACAATATCATCGAAGTGGACAGCAATCACTTCTCGAATTTGTACGTGCTGAACCAATTGTTCCTGGACGGCAACAGAATAACGAAAATCGACTTGCGCTCTTTCGAGAACATAACGAAACTACACGATCTGGGCCTCAGCGGGAACCAGTTGTCCGAGGTGCCGGAAGCTATAAAGACGCTTAGATTTTTGACGTCCCTCGACTTGGGAATGAACAGAATTACCAAAGTCACGACTTCGCAGTTCGAAGGCCTGGATGATTTGTACGGGCTGCGCCTCGTTGGGAATAAAATAGAAAAAATCTCGAAGGATACTTTCGTTGCGCTACCATCGCTGCAAATATTGAATCTAGCGTCGAACAACATCGATCAGATAGACGACGGCGCCTTTTCGTCTAACCAGCAATTAAAAGCTATCGGATTGGACGGTAACAAATTAGTGGACTTAAAGGGCATATTTACAAACACGCAGCCCCTTGTTTGGTTAAACGTGTCAAATAATGAGTTGCTTTGGTTCGACTACAGTTATATACCGAACAACGTCGAATGGCTCGACATGCACGAGAACAAAGTAGAAAAGCTCGAAGACACGTACGGCTTAAAAGAGTCGTGTAACATAAAAATGCTCGATGTGAGCCACAACAAAATAAGAAGTCTCGACGAGTTCTCATTTCCGAGCAGCGTTGAGACTATTGTTTTAAACAATAATCACATAGAGGATATAAGTCCGGGGACGTTTTTACAGAAGTACAACCTGAACAAAGTGATGCTTTATTCGAACAAGATAAGGACGTTGGAGGTAGGGGCGTTCGCGATATCAGCTGTTTCGGAGGACAAAGACCTGCCCGAGTTCTATATCAGCGAAAATCCGTTCGAGTGCGACTGCACAATGGAATGGCTACAGAGGATTAATCAATTAAGCGACCTCAGGCAGCGGCCGAGGGTGATGGATTTGGAGAGTGTTAGGTGCTCCCTGACGCATTCACGCAACAAATTGGGCGTGTACCTGCTCGAGGTTAAGTCTTCCGAGTTCTTGTGCAAGTACGACTCGCACTGTTTCACCCTGTGCCATTGTTGCGACTTTGACGCGTGCGACTGCAAGATGACTTGTCCAGATAACTGTACGTGCTATCATGATCTCACCTGGAACTCGAACGTCGTCTATTGTTCGAACGCCGGCTACGATCACGTGCCGGAGCGGATGCCGATGGACGCGACCGAAATCTATCTAGACGGGAACGATTTGAGAGAGTTGGGAAATCACGTGTTCATCGGTAAAAAGAGGCTGCAAGTACTTTATCTGAACAACAGTAACGTAAACACAATACAAAATAGAACGTTCAACGGCATCGAATCGCTGAGAGTGCTGCATTTGGAGAACAATAAGCTCGAGGTGCTCAGGAATTCGCAGTTTACGCGTCTTCCTAATCTGAATGAACTATATTTGAACGACAACAAAATAAAAGTGATCGAGAACGACACATTTAATTATTTGCCCTCGCTGGAGTATTTGAATCTCGACAATAACGGTTACGTCGATTACATGCCGTGGCGGGTTATAACGGACAACAATCCCCGCACACGTGTCTCCGTTGACGGGAACAACTGGATATGCGATTGCAAAGACGTCGCTCAGCTGAATCAATGGCTGATGAAAAAATCCAAAGATACAGAGACGATGATGTGCTACTTTGCTCACGGGCAATCTATGAATAAAACCATCGCGACCGTGGCGAAGGAATGCAAAACGGAGACCACTACGGAGGAGACGGGGACGGAGACTCTGAAGCGATTATTCATCGAGACGAATGACGGCGTGGAAAATTACATTCCATATATCGCCGCTGTGTTGATAATAGTAATCATACTCTTAGTGATGTGCGCCTTTCTGTTCATGTTCCGTGAGGACTTTAAATTATGGATGCATTCGAAATACGGCGTTAGAGTGTTCAGTTCGACGTCGAAGGACATGAACGACAATAAAAACAAACGTTTTGACGCCTTCTTCGTGTACAATCCGCGTGACGAGGATTTCGTGACGCGCGCGGTGAGTTCCGAATTGGAGAATTCGGGCCACTCCTTGTGCCTCCAGCACAGGGACTTGCAGTTAATCGAGAGACGCTCCGGTGACAGTTTGGTTAGTGCCTCCGAAAGCTCAAGGCGGCTCGTCATAGTGCTCTCAATAAACTTTCTAGAGCAGGAATGGTACGCGCCCGAATCTAAGGCGGCGGTGCAAAGTGCTATAAACTCTGTGAACGTTAGGCATAGACGTCAAAAGATAATCTTCCTCGTGACCACTGACCTGAGTGCCATAAACATCGACCCGGACCTCAAAGTGTTGTTGAAAACGTGTACAGTGATTGTGTGGGGCGAGAAAAACTGTTGGGAGAAGCTGAATTTTCGGTTGCCGGACGTCGACGTGACGCTGCCGAATCGGACGCTCCACAACGCGAACAACATCAAGACCAGTAACAGGGAGGCGTTCGGGCGCCATGGCAACCTGAGGTACACCGCGCCGCCCACATCTCAGGACCCATGGTACAAATACGGGATGGCGCCCCCCATCCTGATGATGTCGAGTCCGATGCACTCGACGAGCGCCAGCGCTGAGGTGTCCGCCCGGAGCACCGAGGACGAGACCTGCTCTGTGGCCAGCAGCGAGGGCAGACCAGACGACCGGCTGCCCCACCACCACAGCTACGTGTCCATAGACAACCACCAGTGCGAGGAGCGGCCCCTCAGGCCCGCCCAACAGATCCCCATGTCGAACACCAGGCCCAGTAATGTGAGAAAGACTTACTTTGTTTGAAACTACCATAATGTCGAAATATGATTTGTTTTGTATGTGCAAATTGTATGCAAGCTCACTATACTGTTCGTAGTATTGTAACAGACACTATTTCGAATCGAAATATTCTAGAATTTTATATGTTGGTGCTCATATGTTACAATCTCTCTAAAGAGTTAATTATGTTTCGTTTTTCAAATTGTACTTTGAGTACTTTAACCACGTTAAAATCAAATCGGGCTCGTTATAAATAACTGTACATGTGAAATTGTGACAGATATTCGTTGCCTTTTCTTGCACAATTATTTTAAGTAAGAGATATGCATTCCACTGTTTACTTAACAGTTATGTTTTGTAATTACAAAGTAAGGTTCCTGATAAACGTAATCCTATGAATGCATAGGAGGAGGTTATGATTAACTTGTGATAACGTTAGGTACTTATGTAGAGTACTACGTAACTTGTGAAGTGGGAAATGTAAGTTACTTGAATTGAACTAAGTGTAAATACAAATAATATAAGACAATGCTGTTGAAGAACTGAAATGTACCCTAGTCAATTGTAAATAGCGGTTTCTAAGTGTAAGTTTATAATTTGTGATGTAATTTTTAGCTAGAACATGAAACAAATTCGTATTTATTACGCTTCCAAACAAGAGTATAAATAAATTAATATTTTATCTACTACTCTCTACTTTTATTTATGCACACTCCTTTTATTATTCAATACATAAAAGTATTATTATATTCATAAAAATAATTCTAATTGCTTATATCACTTGCTCATTTGAGTAGAAACATTTTATACATTAAAATAAAATTAAAAACTTAAGGTTTGCTCACATCTCACCTGATTCTTTTCATTTTCAGTCAAAAATAGAATTTCGAATTAAAGATGTCAAAGATTCAATAGAACTAAAATTATGAACGAAACCACAAAAGCTTTCTAATTTTCGTTCATTAACGTTATCGTTAAACGTTGACCAATTAAGTTGGGTTCTAACGGAAACAATGTCAAGAAGTCCGCTACGAAACACATTTCAATAACGGTTATTTAGAAATAAATTTTATCACACGAACTCCGGTTCTCATTTTTTAGTCTCTGCATTAGCGCGATGTCTGTGCAAACTACACAACCTGTAATTCTCGAGACAGTATTCTCGATTTATGAATTATTGTTCAACGCATGAAATATATATGTTAATGAAATAATAATCGTAATAAACGCGCACACGATAACGTTCGTTACCGTCGTGTAGATCGTAAAAACGAATTGGCCGTATTCGAAGGGAGCGGCGAGTGGAACAAAAAAAGAACGCGGTCTTCACGGGCGCAATCAATTTACCGAATCGCGTTATTCGCCCGTCCACATTCAGTTGTATAAATATTTATTTTTATCTAAATCGATCGATTCGGATAAGATCTCGCCGGGCCGCGTACGATTTCAATTCGGAGAGCGGCCGCGACAGCGCCCGCTGCGAAACTATAAATCATTGTCCGACAGCCGGGATGAATAAGCGGCGCTTTAATTGACTCTTGATTGCGGCTCGGTGTCGTCCCATGTCGCTTCGGCGTCGTCGCGGTGTCGTCCCGGTGTCGTCGCTGTTCGAGCGTCCGCGCCTTCCCACAGAAGGATGCCTGTCGCAAAATTGTTTACTCCGGTAATTGAAGATCTGAGCCAGTGTCCGCGGTCCATCTCGTTAGTAGTGATATTAGAAATATTTTCTCTTTGATGATTCCAAACGAATCCGTGGCTATGTTTACATACGCAGTAAGTGTGAGAGAATCTCGTTTATTTGTATTTATGTGGCCAAGTCTGTTTAAGAACAAAACTTGTCATTTCAAAAGTAAAATAAAGTAACAGGGTATTTATGTTCAACTGCTGGGAAAAGGCCTCATAACAGATGGTATTAGGGCATAGTCTATCACGCGAACCCCACTGCGTATTGAAAGATTTCACATATCTTCGAGATTTTTTTTTTACTATAATTTAAAATTGTTTTTATAATCTAAAATATGCTGCTTTCCTCTCTATGTTACCACTGTGCATATGATAAGTCACACTTAAAATTAACAATTTCATTGGTGTCGGCACCATGATTTGTATTACAGTTGCTCGAATACATATAATTAAAAGTGAGCGTCTGTACAATGAGCTATTACGGCTTTTTATTTTGTATTAACTTATCCTTTGCGTATAATTATTAGTATATTATGTATTTTGGCAACTCTGCCGTATATAATATATACTCAACCTAAAAGGAAACGATATTTCGAATAAAAGAAAAGTAACGTTCACAATTCCTCGTAGCCTTTACATTTCGGAGCCGCTTGCCTCGGAACGTAGAAAGAATGCCGATAAAATATTTTTTTCAAACGCCACTCCGAAAAGTTTGTATGGGCGTTAGACATGCAAAATAAATTGTCGCATTAAGGCACGCACTAAACTTTCGCGGTATGCCAACCGCGGCTTTGTTAACTATAAAAACTCGAATGTTTATACCATACAAACGGAATAATCGAGATGGTGGCCTGAGATTAGCGGTCTCATGTCGCGCCTCAACACAATATGAGGGACCTCGGAATGTTTACCATTAAGTCTCCCGTATGTTTTTGTATATTAACGAAGATGTTTTGACAGTTCGATATTAATGACCTTTGAATATTGAACAAAGATAATTGCTGTATTAGCTGTTTGCGATGTTTTAAAAAAAAGTCACTTAATTTTTGCTTATTATTAGGTCTTTAAGACCCAGTTAACTTATTCTAAGAAAGGCTAATGGAATTTAATGCTAGTTTGGTCCTAACTGTCGACTTTGAGAGTCTAAGAGTTTTGTGCTCTCCGAAAAATGCAATTTAAGTCAGCATTTTTATTAACACATTTTAAAAGGTATAAACAAAGGAGTAAAAAATTAAAGTTTGTTAAAGGTGCCCTTAAATGTGCAGTTTCGTGTGGACTATTCATTGTTTTTTTATAAAAAGAACAACGCAAGTGGTAATTTCCGGATCTATACGATTCGTAGCATCCAAAAGAGAAACTATTCGTACGCAAGGCTGAAAACGCGTTTGCGCAAAACCTTTTATGCCGCGAATGTCACGCGACCCGATTGCTCGATTGTCTCCTTTTCCATAAAAAAGGGGGACATTCTTTCGAAACAACTCGAGATCGCGTATTGTCCTGCGCGAGTTAGAACGCGTGTCCACCTCGGCGGGGCTTTCGTTCGCAATCCGGTCCGTCCTCTGCATATGTTACCACAGCGAATACAATAAATAAATGCCGCTTGCCCATTGTGCCGCCTCGTGAATGGAGCGCAATTAGCCCCGATGATCGGTGGCCACCAACTGCGAATTTCGCGGAACACCGGCCAGGCCCGGCTTACGCGTTTGACGGACCGGACAATCAGTAGGAAGGAGTGCGACGCGTCCCGTCGGTAGATGCAAAGGTTAACGCATTGTCCCGGCAGCGGGATCGGGCCACGCTAGGACATTTATTGAGCACCGTTATACTTCCAGTTGCTTGTGATACCGCTAAACCGCGTGTATATCCTTCCTTTATAATAGTCTATGACTACAGGGTCTTCTGTGTTACTACATATTTAGATATTACACACCACCGCGTTTTACACAATTAAAGAATTAAGTTGTTATTTATGTATTTATACCGATATATATATATATATATATATATATATATATATAACTGAAATTTGTTTTAGTGATTCGAAATAAACAATTACAAGGGAGCAGTCGCGGGATTGTATTAATTCATTGTATGGAATGCTTATAATAAATCTCTTGTCATATTTATATATGTTTATACGTGTAATAAATCAAATTTCGAAAAAGTAACAAGCTGCTTTATGCTAATACGATGTAATTACCTAAATTGTACATAACAATACAATTTAGGTACTTTAATAAATGTCAGAAGGAATACATTCATTATTAATTAATTTTAAAATTTAATTAAGGTTTCTGCATTTCGCTGTTACATAGTTGGTTCATTATATTTATATTTGGTGTTATAGTGGATATACTGGTATAAAATGTATTCATATTTGAAACACAAATAAACAGGAATTTAGCGATTCTTATCCTTAGGCTCAAGCGACCCAACCGTGGAATGTTTGACGTATGAATGCGAATGAACAATTTCAATTAACCGGGATCCAAAAACTATTTCGTGCCGTGTATAAATTTAACATATATGAAGACAGGGGTAATACGATCCGTTTATTTATAACAACAATCGAACACATAAAGTTACAAGCACTTGACCTATCGCCACGTGTTATAAATTGACTACGATATTACGTTACACCGCTCTCTAGAACGTTCCTCCGTTACTCTCCAGGCTGCATTCGCTTCATCACAAGTACAATTCGTTCCTCGTATTGATCTCGGCCCACTCTAGCCGCGTGCGTTGACTGGGAACGGCGAATATCTCAATCACGGCCGCCGTAATCCAACACCCGATGTTCGGACGTACGACGCTCGATTCCACGGCCGTATTTGTAAACGTTGCCCGTAGGGACGAGCCGCGTCTAGGCGCATCTATTCGCGCCAGCGGAGTCGCGTCTCGTCCACCCATCACCTTTTTTCCCCGGCGCAATACGATACCCTATCGCTTACACCGGCTATAACAAACCCGTTCTATATGGACACGGGACACGGGGACTCGCTGGGAAATATTCAAAGTGGAGGTGACAATTGATTGCGCGTCCGGCGCGGACAAAAAGCGGAATGGCGCTATTAGTTATGTCTTCGCCGGGCGTAGGCCGAGAGGAAACAATAGATTGGGTCCTGCTTTATGATTCTATAAACATTTATGCCCCTATAAATGGCCTTTTAGCTTTTCGTGGGGCCCCGAGATTGTGATGTTATCGGAGTTCGGACAGTTTTATTATGCGTCGATGGTAGCCATGTGCGAAAAACTCGCGATAAATTGTGGATTGTCTTGCTTCGAGATTATTCTGCACGTTAATTAGCTTAATAAAGTTGAGACCTCATAAGTAATTGAAATGATTGGGTGCGTTTAAACGACAGTGCTAAATTTCGCACTGCGATAAAATTCTGGAGTTGAGTGTAACGGCAACTAGAGAATGTGTTACTTAACTGTTTGTCCATGAATTTTATAGTTGCTGTAAAAATTAATTACATTTTACAAGGTATTAAATTTACGTCTATTGTTGTTATTGAACTAAAATAATATATTAAACATTCATAAACATATATAAAACATATCAGAAATATATTAAACATTCCACATGAGTTAAACCAACTCATGTGGTATGTTTAATTATTTTGGTTCTAAATATTCCTTTGCTAATTATAAATATTAACTTTTAGAATGATAGATTCGATTGGGCAAGTAAGCCCGTTACAAAAAAGTTATTTGTAGTTTTAAATTGCGGGATTTGGGTAGAGTTTGCTGATTTGATATTGGTTCACTTGGCGGAATATAATATAAAGCTTCTATCCTCTTACAAATGAATTGCTTTAATTAAGTATATAAGTACAACAGCGCCATGTCAAGGATGATATTGGTGAGTTGGGCGAAGAATGCGTCTCAGAATTGAGGAGAATATGGAAGAGGTATCAGGAACGCAAAGTTGATTCTCACTTTCAACACGGAGACGAAAAAATATATGCTATGTTACTGAAACTACATATATATTTAATATTACTTTTCTTACTATCGCAAGTATAATTATGAGCAAATCCAACAATTGCGTGAGGGTATAGTTAGGAAACAATAAATGGGGTTAATAGTAAGTACCAAATAGTTTGAATTCAAACCTATGAGTTGGACGTAACCTAAAGTCGTAAAATAAATGCAAGTTCAAGAACGAGCAATATGTTTATTAAAGATCAATACATGTGTGTATCCTATATACAATATATACTAATTGTGTAGTAAAATTAGTATATTTTATTTATTTCTCTATATGGGTTTATTTACATACTTTTACTTTTGTCACAAACAGTCATCATGAAGTTATCTCCTTCAGTATGACTGTTTGCATTATATAAAAAAGTATATATTAAAGTTAATTTCAGCAGTTAAATTTAGAACAAATTTATTAATAATCGATTAAAATGGCTCTATGTTCAACTTAATTGGCTGAAATAATTTATGTTAAAATGAGCATAATAATAACGTTTTTATTGCAATACATTAAAGGGTTTAATTCGTATGGCCCAAAGTACACTTTTTTTGATCTCAGCTGAAGAGGTAGGGATAAAAAAGCTAAATATTTTTTACCACCCCATCGTTTACGAGACAGCCAGAAACAGGGGACAAATATTGGATATTCTAAATAGGTAAAACTTATTAGTGTTTGTTACTAGAAGCAAACCTTTGATCTTATGTAGCAACTCTGAATTTCCAGCTAGTAAGCCATTAGTTAATTTCCATAATAAGGAATTCAGCCGTAAGCCATTTTATACGGATAGCTACTAAATCGAGCAGAACTCAAGTAGCTGTTATTTTGACAAGTATTTAGATATTATTCTTCATGGTTATTTTCCCGCATAACAAAGCAATTACCTAATTACCGACTGGAATATTAATTCCGCCGTTGGCAGTTAGCTAATCGTGCAAAGAATTCGGGGGACACATTAATTCACTTATTGTACATCGCATGCCGTTAACCAAACAAATACTTTTAAGTGCGTAAGTAGTTAAATATTCATTTAACTACAGCATTAATTAGGTTTTTCAGTTAATTATTTATAAAATGACCGGGTTTTCTGAGAGATTTTTTTATTATAGGTGAGCGGATACTATTGTATGCTTGTGTATAACTAATATTTGTTTCGCCTTCTATTTAAATCCTTTCTTAACCATTCCAAGTAACTGGCATAAATTAAATATTACACTTTTTGTAGTTATACTTCTTTTGGTGCTTTTCGAAAAGAATGAGAGTAAAATTTTTACGATGCGAGCGCAGACCCTCAGCCAAAAGGCGACATGATTGTTTAGAAAGGAACGAAGTTCTCGGTATTACTGTGGCAACCAATAACAACTTTTTGCCATTTGCATTTCATTCCAAGTTATTTAATTAAACGGTAATATATACGTAATTGCATTTAATGTCTTTTTCACAAACTAAGAGTACATTTCTTGTTTTACCCTAAAGAAGTATAACTTCTTAAGTGCGTATATAAGTACTTACACACAATGTTTTTGAGTAAATTTATTTTTTTTACAAAACTACGAGTATGCATACCTTCTATTTTCAAAACATGTATCAGGCGTTTTGGTATGAGCATTTTTAACCGGTTGACTTATTTTTACACGAGCGCTGTTACCCGACTAGTTTAAAGGTTGCCCAATGCTCGGAGTTTAATTTGTAATTATTACAACTGCAGCTGTTTCCGTTCGATGGGTGGAGTTATTTTTTTACAGAAAAAAACCGCCTCGCCGTTATTGGTCGAAAGAAAAAGATATATATCTTGGGATTACGCATTTGAATTCGCTGGGGGAATACGTCGAAAGGCGAAGAATGTATCGCATATGTTCCTACTAATTATAGGGCCTTCTTTTTTTATAAGAGGCAGTGTCATGCGGAGTAAACGTTCAAGGTACGTGTTTGAAGTACGGTGTTGGTGGGAATTATAAATTTATGTTTAAGAAGTTTTGTTACATGCAACATCAGTTATTTGAATATACGCCAACAGTTATGTTTAATGCAAGCAACACTTTTTATACATACTCATACTTTTATACATACATAAATATACTTTTTATACATACTCGTATTGTTGAACTTTTCCTAGTGAGGCAACATGACATTTGCTAACTGGTCGCTAACTGGTGCAACACTTGTTAAGTTACGACGTTATAAAGTAATGACAAGTTCAATTTGAAGTGTAGTTTATTAAAGTCTGTCATCATTTTAATATTATATCATATCTAGAAAGAATAATATTAAATTATTTTAATGTAAGCGTAATGAAGATTTGTTTTATACACGAAAAATATTTGAACTAGTATTGGTCACGAAACAAACTGTGTCGTAAATTATTTTACTCTCATAGTTTGCAACAACTAACAGATTTTATTCTTATTTTCGTGCGATAAACATAGCCGCAGAGTCCATTATATAGCGTATTAGCCGGTTGTTCCTTTTAATTCAGTATGGTAGAGCAAGGTGGGTTTAATTACAAGCTATTGCTGACACTGTATAATATCAATACTGATTACTACGTGATCGGTGGCAATGAATAATGTCGCGAGGAAATCTGCAAAATAAAGATAATTAAATAAGGTTTTTTCGTATGAAGTGTGTTGGTGGAGTCGCTTTCGCTCAGATATCAGCAAAATTTTGCTAAGTATTCTACTACGACTTATTTTACTACGCATTTGCGAATTTCAAATTAATAATTTTAAAATAATACTTAAATACTTAAAATGATTGATTTTGACATTTGCAAACTCTAGTTTATATATTCTTATTTTCTTCCAATCATTTACACCTATTAAGGTATGATCCACTGATAAGTTCGTGTTACACCAAATTAGATAACGGATGTTTATTTAATATGAACTTGAGAGCGCACTCCAATATTAGCAACATAAATATTATTCTTCAACGGTACGATGGAATAGAAAAATGTAAAGGGCTTCCGAAGGATTTAATTAGGGATGCCTCTACGTCGGTACCTGGGTGGCGGTCAAGATCGGGCCCCGATACAGCATGTATATTTTTAATTATTGCCCTTGATTCAGGCGGGGCAGCCCCTAATTTCTATTTCCATACAAACCACGAGAAACATCCGTAACATCTGCGGGTCATTAGTCATACAAATCTCCGGTATTAAGAATTAGTTTTTATCTCTGAGTGCGGTGGGAGCTACGCGTGATTTCGGCCCAGGGAAGTTTTGCGATAATTCCCCGAACGTGATTCCGGCTTCATAGATAGTGACGTTTCCTTTGAAGATCTATGGAGTTTGAGATTAAAAAAACGCGCTTATAAGCTTATATGTGCTTGGTTTCTCAATAAATAGAGTTCTCTTTGAGATTTTCCTATTGTATTTTCGACCGAGGTTCTCAGTTCCGTTATACATTTTTTTTATTGTTTTATACCTCAGAACTCATTATGAACCAATTTTAAAAAACATTTTTGCATTGGGTTCGGTACTCTACTTCTCAAAATCAAATAAGAAATGGCCAGTGAGTGAGATGTTTGAAGTTTGTTAATGAAAAATAATAATTTGTCGTGGCCATTATTGGTGTTTTGAACGATAAATAAATATTTCCAATGATATTTTAAACTATTATTTTTAATTACAAGCTTGTGCCCGGGAATTCATTCACGTCGTTCTAGTAGATAACGTCATTGAAAGGAAAACTTAACATATTTATAATCAATGTAATTATATATATTATTCTTTAGAACAAGGCTTCATTCATATCAAATGTTATACATACGGATATTTCATTTAAAATTTGAGTTTCAAACACTATGTTTTTAATTTAATCCGCCAGCCAGAAAAATAGACAAATATTGCATAAACCATTGATTGATTAGTCATCTTATAAATACAATTTGTACTTTTGTTTAATTTTGTTTTATATTTGTATTT